AAGGGACCAGACCCTCATCCAGCCCCCTGCTTTGGCAGGCTGTAGAAAAGATCTAACAAGACAGAGGCCCCTGGCTCAGAACATGTGCTTGGTTTCCGGCCTTCTGACCTTGCAGGAGCTGCCCTAGGTCAGATACCAGCCATGTGGCAAGGAACCAGTCAGAAGTTATCTGGCGTACTTTACAGTGCTCTATGGTAAAAGTGGCGTTAACAGTGACGGGCAGAGCATAGCAACCCATAGCAACCAGGTGACCAATCAACACAGGACAGGTCGCCCAAACCTGGACGCACACCAATCCTGGACTGTTGTGGCCCCCAGACACTGCCCTTGCTCCTCCCAATAAATTCCCCACGTCATCGAGGTTTCTCCAGGTTCTTCTGATCTTGGATGGACGAAGGGCTCAAGTTAATGCAGTTAACTTGTTAATAGTAAAAGACTCTTTGCTTTTGTAGCAGAATGGGTCTTTTGGTGATTTTGGGGTTCAGAATTTGGGCACAACAAGCAAAGACAAAGAGACCAGACCAATATTATTGTGAACCTGAGTCGACCTTAGGAATTTGTCATCATACAGAAATCCATTGTAATCCAAAATATTTTGGAGACCTGTTGTTAGTCTAAAAGTTTAACCAATGATAACCTAAGGGCTTAGTAGGACTGAGAAGTTTTATAGGTGCTGCCTTGATTGGTTTATACTGAAGGATCAAAAATTAATAAAAGTTTAAAAACTTAGGGAACCTCTAATGATAAAGGAAAATTTAACTCCTTAAATCAGGAGTGCCACTACTGAAGCCTGATCCCCTGTTCTCAGAGAAGAGGAGGTGACTATCCATCACTCCTGTTAGCATTCCTTTGCTAATTGCTGGTTGTAAATATTCCCCAGCCCGGGGGATAACTGACAGACCCTGTGACCCTGTAACCCTGCAAGCCCATGCCCTGTCTTATCAAGCCTGATCCCCTGTTCTCAGAGAAGAGGAGGTGACTATCCATCACTCCTGTTAGCATTCCTTTGCTAATTGCTGGCTGTATGTATGGAAACTGTAATTTGTGGCCTTCAACTGAAGGACCCCAGCCTAAGATGTTTTCTTTGCAGATATATAAGAATCTAAACTTATGATCTTAACAGGAAAGGGCTGTTAGGGTTGAGGAATTCCACCCTGACAAATGGTTCTCAGAGAAGAAGAGCCATCTGGAATGAGCCAATCAGAACTGTTACCCTCGGTCACCACAGACCCCATCCACTTGCGGTTTTTGCCTTTAAGAAGCCCCTAGCCCCCAGCTCGTGGTCCAGCTCCTCTGCTCCTGCGTGAGTAACGTGCTGGGTCCCTATGTGCCGGTTACTGAATAATATAGCCTCTTGCTGTTTGTATCAAGTTCTCGAGAGCCTCTGTCTGGTGACTGGGGGGGGGGGGGCACCCCTCCCGGGGGTTCCCCCCAGGGTGGCCCCCATCTTATGATGGTGGTGAAGTCACACAGTATACACCCTTTAGCCTTAGTAAAGATGGCTGCCCACCAAGTAGTTGCTATTTAAAATGTCCATTTTTTTTTGGTGGCTCTATTTTTAAACAATAGTTGAAAGCAAGTCACATATATGGTATATTTTAAACAAGAGCTGAATCCCATGTACAGTAAGTTGGAGCAAATCACAATTACCTATGTATAGATTTTTTTTAACACTTTATTTTATATGCATTGGTGTTTTGCCTGTGTGTTGTGGAGTTCCTGCCCAGTTCTGCAGCTGCCTCAGAGCCCCAAAATGAACACATAGATGCTATATTAGTTATAATACTGTTGGCCATTGGCTTGGGCTTCCTATTGGCTCTGTCTTAATTATTAACCCATTTCTATTAATCTAAGTATTTCCACATGGTCTTATCACACTGGAGAGATGCCTCACTTGAGTCCTCCCACCCTCACAAGATGACTCTTCTCTGCCTACATTTCCCAGAATCCTCCTGTCTCCTAGTCGCACCTATCATCCTGCCTCATTGGCCACAGTACTTTATTCATCAACTGAAGGGACCAGACCCCCATTTTGGCAGCCATGACAGTGACACGTGCTCGCTATGACCTTGTCTTAGTCACTAGAGGTCAGGTGCCTGCCTGCACAGCAATGATACACA